CCGACCATACCAGAGCAAATAATGATATTCCCCCCTGATTGCCCACGACGAAGAGGCTCATGCCTCTCGATGGGACCGGCCTTACGGCAGCCCATCAGTGCGCCTACCTCCTCACCTGGCATGCACAGTGTTGTACAAAGTTTGCGCAACGACAGACAGGAGACGCCACACCAGCTGCTTCACTCCGACTCCCAACCTCTGCATGATTCTTTGACCTACACATACGCACTCACCGACAGGATCGGCAGCAGCACAGCTGGTCGCACCATCCCTAGACTCACCTCCCCGACGGCAGCGGAAAAGGGACTCCCACGGGTCTCAGCACACGGCGACGACGTCAACAACGCTCTGCTACGCAGTGGGTCCCTGAGGTCGCCTGCCAGTCGCCTTACCCGATTACCGCTCACTGGAGGGTCGGAGGGGATTTATTCGAAGGCGTGGGGGATAACAAACCTACGGCGAGCCACCGCCGCGGATGGCGTACCCCCCCCCGTCCGCAAACGGTGGACCCCCCAAGCCTCCACCGCTCCCGCTATCTGGGCACCCTACCCCTGCCTCGGCAGCGGAGGGTACCAGTCATGGGGATGGTAGCCAGGGGGGGGGGGTCCTATGCGCAGGGGGCGAGGCCTTTATGCCATCCACCGTGGCGTGTGTGGCCACAGGCACTCTCTGCGAGGGAGATGGCGCCCATTAGACTTCAGCCGCCAGCTGCTCACCTACGCCGCCTGCCCCGCGCCGTCGGTCACCCTATCCATGTCCTCTTGTGTTCAAATCACACACCTCCGCACTGCGCATGACAGTCTTTCTGCGAGCTGGAGGCTGTCCAATACCTCTGCGGAGGTGGACCCTGGGCACCCTCCAGGGCACTGGTCCAACACTGGCCATCGCTCGGACGTCCATTCCCTGTGTTTTTTTGGTTTCGTGCGTGGTTTTTTCGCCAAATGATCAAGGATGCTCCTCGATGGTCCTCGCCGAGAAACAATGCACACGTCCGAGCGATGCCAAGAATAAGGCCTGCTGACTCGAAGGAGGGGGGACCTGGCACAGCCAACAGGACGCGCCGGCCCCAGGGCCCACCCACTACCCTTTTTCGCGACCGCCGCCTCACAGCCACCACGTCATCCCTCATCCTGTTCCTTCTTCCTCAGGAAATTCTGATGATGCGATGTCTCTCCTCCTCCCCCTCCCTCCTGCCTGTCGGACTTCTTGTCCATGATCTGAGACTTTTTTTTGTCATGCTCCCCCAGAGAGGTGGACGATGGACTCCCCTGGGGGAAGCGGCAGCGTGCGAAGCACTCTCTTGCCAGCAGGAGACAGGACACAGGCGGGGAGGGCAGGAGGAGAAACTCGCTGGCCTTTGCAGGCATCCGCGCATGGGCAGCGAACTCGGGAACGGACAGCCCCAGGCGGGAGGCCCACGGAGGGCAGCCTCCCGCCCGAAGGAGGAGGAGGAGGAGGAGGAGGAGGAGGAGGAGGCGGAGGAGGAGGAGGCGGGACGGGGATGAGAAGGAGGAGGGACGGAGAGGAGGAGGAGGAGGAGGAGGAGGATGAGGAGGAGGAGGAGGATGAGGAGGGGGAGAACGAGGAGAACGAGGAGAAGGAGCGAGGAGGAGGGAGGGGGGGAACGACACTGCGGACAGGGAGGGGGGGCGTTCGAGACTCTGCTGCGCCGCTGCGCCCGCTGCGCCTGCTGCGCTGCTGCACGGCGGCAGGGCTTGCCACACGGAAAGCCGGGAAACACACCGCGCGGGCCCGCACCCGCGCACGCACCCGCGGCAAAATATAAAAGTGCTGGTTGGCTTCTCCCATATACTCCTTCTCTTCGACCTCCTTCTCCTCCTCCTCCTCCTCCTCCTCCTCCTCCTCCCCTCCTCTTCCTCCTCCTGTACTTTCCCGCGCTCTTCGACACTGAAGCAGCCAATCCCAATACAATCAGTCAAGGTTCCTGCGCGCGCCCACTCGCCAACATCATACGGGAACACTCGGGGACCTTCTCTTCTGTGGAATGGGGCCACGTGGGTCACACGCACGTCGAACTCATAACACGCAACACTTGTTTCCCAAACATGCGTAACATACTGCAAAGGGCATGTGCCATGTTATGTGCGCGAATAGCTTCTCATCATCCTCATCAACACGATCACCGTCATCTTTGCCAACGTAATCATCATCACCATCATCATCACCATCATCATCACCACAACCACCACCATCATTACCGTCATCATGACCACCGTCGGCAACATCTTCGCCAAGTGACATCGTCGCTGACGTCGCTCTCGTCATCGTCGATCATCGCCATCGCCACCAGCATCAGCAATCGAGTCGCCGTGGCCGATGTTGCAGTCACCATCCTCACCAGTCCGCCCGAGTCATAACTCTACATGGTAAGGGTGGTCGCGTCATTGTGCCAGTAGGGCGTCGTAGTTGATGACTTCCAAATTCTCAGAACCAATTGCACCACATATCATTCAAAACCAACAACTTACTTCCCCCACACCGAAATACCACGGTAGGTTGATCATGATCTTGACAAAACTGGATGCAAGTTCAATCCGTACGGCGTAGTTGCAGTGATCAGGTCGGACAGCAGTGCTTTGGAATGCGGCAAAATTGGGCACGTGCAAACCTGAAGATCGTGAGTGTCGACGCGATGGCGTGACCCAGCTGGACACCTTGGGGCCAGTTTTGCAGATTTGCGCAATCAGCGGTGCTCAGACATGCTGGTGCAGTGCGTTGGAGAAAAACAGCTCAAGGGGTGTCCTTGCTTTGTGCCGCGATGGAGGTCGAAAGACTAGCTGGTGGTGTCGGTGCGGACCTCGTCTGCCTGGTCGCGGTACAGGCGCCAGAGCAGGTGGACATACCCAGGGGCACTTGGTGAGCTAGGGCAATCAACAACTTCTCGTGTTCGACTGTGTCGGCTAGAGCCCATCGGCATTTATTACATTCATCTGCTCGTTCTCGTAGAATGCTGTAAGGTGAGAAAAGGTCACATGTGTGCGTCGGCCAAGTCGGAAGCCAGCTTGGACGTTCAGCTGTTGTACAGCATTGATTTCGCTGCACATCGGGCGATAATTCTAAGGGGGAACTAAGCCATCTGATTTTGGGGGAGCACGGCCATGCCGGTTTCTACCCGACTGGCATGGGTCGGATCGTCTGCCTGTATGATTGATTGCACAGTGCAACTGATGTAAGCCACGTTAGAGCTCTGAGCCTGATTACTGAAGCAATCCAGCAGTAATCATGGTGGCTCCGGGTGCGTTGCCGCCTGTGCGACATGGCTACGTAAGTTCCACTGTCATGAATGATGGAATCTGCTGCGGCGTGGTCGCGGCTGGCGGCAAATTACGGGCCCCCGCAAATTAGAGGTCCGCAGATCTGTCCACAGTCCCTTGTCGCGTTGTTTGCTTGGTGTTCTCGGCCCCACTCGTCTCAGGAACCGCATTAGAGGCTCGTCAACTGCTGGTTTCGGTCAGCACGTCCTTCTTCTCCCACCGAAAATCCTGCCGAATTCTTTTGCTGATCGATCGCCGGGCAAATGTATCTGCCGTAGATGTGCCTTGGCTTTGATTGTCATACAATCCGGAATCAATGTTGGTGGTTGCCGTCGTGGTTGGCATGTGAGGCATCCCCTTGTTAGGGCAGCTCGGCAGTGTAGCGTCGTGAGGGAATAGAGCGGGAGGGGGAAGGGGAGAGCGAAAGGGAAAAGGGGGGAAAGAGGTGAAGGAGGAAGGAGGGAAACAAAGAAAGAGAAAATGGGGTATATAATAATGAAAAAGCAGAGCTGAAGCGGGAAGGGGGAAAGGAGGGACGGGGGGAAGGGGAAAAAACGCGGGGAGAAAGGAGAGCGCGACCGCGGGGTCGGAAGCTGGAGCTTTCCCAGAAGCCTCCGCCAGCGCCTTGGCCACCTCCGGACCGCGACGACGACGACGACGACGCCGACGACGAGGACGAGGACAAAGACGAGGGCGAGGACGACGTCCTCCTCCTCCTTTTCCTCCTCCTCCGCCCCCACTTCCACTCATGCGCCTCCTCATTCCCCTTCACATCCTCTTTCTTCCTCCACCAAAACGAACGCCGCTTCCGACGGACGTCAAACGCGAGCGACCGCTGGCCGGTCGACGGAAAGCGAAACCGAAGGTTCTGTAAGGATTTCGGCATGCGCGCGCGACTGCGCGCGAGTGCACTCCGTCCCGTCTTCTGCAAAAATGATTCCTGGAACGTGACGAGTATATCAACGAGTGCGCGCGCATGGAACTGCATTGGCGAAGGATGAGGGAAAAACTGTTCGTGGTTTGGCTGGGGTGATACGAATAAAAAATAGGGTGGACGATGAATTAAAATCAGATGCCATTTGCAATACGAAAAAATGGGTCCCGTGAGCTCCTGGGGGGGGGGTAGATCCTCATACTCTTCTGGGGCGGGGAATCTATGTGATACAATAAATGTTGTGTGGTCTATGTGGTGCAAGTGCGGTGAAATATGTTGCGCAATCTTTGTGCGCAGCATACGTGGCGCAATCCATGTGGTGCCATATACGATGTGCAACGCAGGTTGTGCAATTTCCGCGGTGCCACTTATGATGTGCAAATCCACTTTGACTGTCTTGAAACTGTCCTCTCCACTGCTCGCGCACACATCCCACCCACCCACCCGCAACTTGGTTTGCAAAACCTGTTAAGACCGACTACGACGACACCGACGACAACGACTAGGACGACACCGACGACGTCTCCGACGACTTCGACGACGACACCGACACCGACGCCGACGACGACGAAGACAACGACGACGACGCCAACGAAGGCGACGACGACGGAGGAGGAAGGACGACGACGGCGACAACGACGACAAGGACGACAACGACGAGGGAGGAGGGAGGACGGCGACGACGCGAACGACGACGAAGGAAGAAGCACGGCGACGCCGACGACGACAACGACGAGGGAGGAGGGAAGACGACGACGACAACGACGACGACGACGGCGACGAAATAGGAGGGACGACGACGAGACGCCGACGACGGACGACGACGACGACGTGGGAGGAGGAAAGACGACCACGGCGACAACGACGACGGAAACGACCACGACGCCAAAGAGGACGGCGACGACGAACACGAGGAAAGACAAAGGACGACGTAGGCGACGACGACGACGACGACGCGGGAAGAGGGAGGACGGCGACGACGACGACGACGCAAGAGCGCGCGCGCACGCGTTTGTTGAAAATCCGTGTTGCGAAACCTTGGGTTTCTGTAGGTTTTTTAAGACGCGCGATTTTGGAAATCCTTCCGTAACCGAAGGGTTCTGAAGGATTTCGGCGTACGCGCGCGACGACACGCGCGTCCGCACTTCGTCCCATTTTTGCAGAGGGTTCTCGCGACGGCACACGCGCAAAGGCGTTCGACTGTTCTCGACATGCGCGCGCGACACCCGTTTGGTAGCATTTTTTGAAAATATAGAAAAACCTATGCGTTTCTTAAGATTTCGCAAGAGCTCGCGCGGAAGCTTTTTTAGCAAATCAGTGTTGCGAAACCATGTGTGTTTGTATGTTTTTTTGGAAACTCGATTGCGATATCCTTCCGGCACCGAAGGTTTTTGAAGGATTTCGGCATGCGCGCGCGACGACGCGCGCGTGCGCACTTCGTCCCATTTGTTGCAAGGGATTCATGGAAAAATGCTATGTTGGAGCAAAAAATGTCACCGCATAGTGTTTTTCACCAGGGAACCTCACGGGGGGAAACCGGCCTAGCTGGGATGGTACGGTTTCATATTTAGGGTGGACGAGTGTGCAGAATATAAACGAAATTTTACCATCCCAAGGGGAAGCGCTAAGTTTTTGGGGGGGGGTAGGATCTATTTTTTTTTTTTTTGAAAAATGAAAATTCACCAACACTCGCACTGAACTTTCAACTCCATTGCTCGCGCAAGCATCCCACCCACACACCCGCAATGTGGTTAGCAAAACCCATGCGACGGCGAATGCGATCAGTCCTTGGCGCTGGCTGCTGCAACGATGTCTGCGGCCGCGCCAACCCGCGCGTGCTCGCGCGCGCAGCGGCCAGCTAGTGCGGCGCGACCGACGCGGCCGCGGTGGCGCTGACCGCTGGACTCTCCCCAGCGGGCATTTCGGTGCGAGTTGGTGGTTTGGACGGGCGCGGTATCATGGCAACACCACAACGGTAGACACGATGATGAGAGTAGCGATGAATGTGACGATGGAAACGATGACGACGACAAAGCCAATGACGGCGCCGATGTTGATCACGCCCGCCGAGAACGCTGATGATGCCCCCCACGTCGGTGATGAATATGCGGAAGAAGTTTGACATGCGCGCGGCCGACGCGCGCGAGTGGCCCCCGTTGTATTAGTTGGCACTGATCGTGCCCCCCCAACGCGCGCGCAAGGGCGTTCGGATGAATCCGACATGCAGCGCGAGAGCCCCATTTGGCAGAAATGGATGACAATGTTGAAAAGAATGATGGTTTTCGTAAACGTTCGCATGGGCACGCACGCGCATGTTTTTTTTTTTATTTTTTTTATATATAAAAAACTTGGTGTTGCAAAACTACGTGATGTTTTATATGTTTGCGGGGCACTCGTGCTTGAAATCCTTACGACGCTTGATGTGTTTTGAAACATGCCGGCATGCGCGCGCAATGACGCGTCCGATGTGTCGCAAAAGGAACCTTGCGGCAGCACGCGGGCAAAGGCGTCCGAACGATTTAGGCTTACGCGTGCGAGACGCCCGTTTTGCAGCAGGCTCAAGACACTAAGAAAACGTCGGCTTCCCTTAGAATCTGCAAGAGCGCGAGCGTGAGATATTGTTTTCGAAAACCTCGCTGTCAAACCATATGATGTGATATTTTCGTGGCTTTCAATTTTGAAACCCGTACGGCACCCACGGATTGATTGTAAAGGATTTCGGCATGCGAGCGAGACGAAGCATGCATGCACACTTCGTCCCATCTGTTGCAACATAGTCTCGGAAACTGATGATGTTTGATAAACGAGTACGCGCACGTAGTCTTTATGCGGAGGATGGGGGGGGGGGAAACCGGCCTGCCTGGGATGGAACGACTTCATATTTAGGATGGGCGATGGGGCAAATACAAAGTAAATTTCACATCCCCAGGGAGACCCGACAATTCGGGGTATATCGTAGGACCCCTCAGAAAAGAGAGCTATGCTGTGCAGTCTACGTTGCGCACCCCCATGTGGCGCAGCCAGTGTGATGCGGTTTGAACTGTGCACCGCATCTGTTGTGCAATATATATATATATATATATATATATACATATGTATGTAAGTGTGCATGAATATACATATATGTATATGTATGTACAACTATAGAAATGTTGGTATATCTTTGTGGTGCAATACATGTTATGCTATACAGCGTGTGCAACGCATGCGGTGCAACATACGTGATACAATCGATGTGGTGGACATTCACCCTGCAAGCATTGAAAGTGTCCATTCAATTGTTCGCACAATAATCCCACTAACCCATCCGCGCTTTGGTTTACAAAGCCCATGCGGCGGAGATTGCGATCAGTCCTTGGAGTTGGCTGGTGCATTTCCGCGGCCGCGCCAGCCAGCGCATGCTCGCACGCGCAGCGGCCAGCTACTGCGGCGGGACCAAACCGGCCGCGGTGGCGCTGACCGCTGGGCAATTCCCAGCGGACATGCAGTGCGAGTCGGTGATATGGACGGGCGCGGAATCATGGCAACGCCGACAACGGTAGACACGATGATGAGGGTAGCGATGATGCTGGCGATGGTGGAGCTGACGACGGCAAACCCAATGCCGGCGCCGATGTTGATCACGCACACCGGTAACGATGACAATGTCCTCACGTCTGACCGCTGGGGGCTGCCCCGCGCGTGCGCGCTTCGCTGCAAGCTTGTGAGTCGGGGGGCGCGCGGTATGATGGCGACGCCGACAATAGCAAATTCGACGTTGAGTAGCGTTGCTGGTGACGATGCTGTTGGTGACGATGATGATGGTGATGGTGATGACGGCAAAGCCCACGACGGCGCCGATGCTGATCACGCCGATCTTGATGAATGATGGTGGTGATGGTGATGGTGATGGCAATGATGCTGGTGATGACGATGACAATGACGATGATGATGATGATGACGAAGATGCTGATGAAGAATATTCTGATTATGATAATGAAGATGGTGTCCACGTGTCGGCGATGAGGGTTTTGGAACGATTTCGACGTGCGCGCGCGACCGACGGGCGCGACTGGCCCACATGGTTTATTGTTCAAGGGTTGTGCCCCCCCAGCAAGCGCGCAAACGTGTCCGAATGATTTCACACACGCGCGCGAGAGGCCCGCTGGGCCGCATGTGATGAACCGGTTGAACAACGAATGGCTTCCGAAGAGTTTGCAAGAACGCGCGCGCAATCTCTTTATTTTGAAAAATACATTGGGGAACCTTTGGGCTTTCGTCTGTTTCCGGGGAACTTGATTTTGACATCTCTATGACACAAATGGTGTTTGGAGAATTCCGACACGCGCGCGAGACAATGCGCGCGTGTTGAGTTTGCCCCGTTGGTTGCAATGGACGCTGGAAACCAGACGGTGTGTTAAAATCCGTGCACGCAGATCAATGTATGACGAGGATGGTGGTGGTGCCGATACTTAACTGGATGGGATGGTGGGAACCCATACTAGGGGGGAAACAAACCTACCTCGCTTTTGACCACCCTCGCTTCCAAGAGATACCAAACGATGCCAAATTGCAGCCTGTACTGGTCAGGCCGCTTGACGAGGAGGCGCGTGGTATGGCTTGGTTTTGCCTGGAAGCGAAAGCGGGGTAGGTAATTCACGCTCTGACATACGCAAGATTAACGATAGGGCAGAATCGGATGTAGAAAGCAATGCGAGAGAACGGCGGGATGATCCCAGGGGGGTCCGCTACCAGCAACACCAACAGCACCAGCAGCAATACCTTCAGCAGCAGCAGCAGCAGCACCAGACGCAGTTCTGGCAACAGCACCACAGCACCAGCATCAGGCGCAGCACAAACACCAGCAATACCAGCCGCAGCATCAGCTGCGGCAGCAGTACAAGCAGCACCGGCACCGCCACCACCACCAACAGCAGCCCAGCACCAACACCACTCTCGCGAGACAGCTTGCGTGAACGCTCTTGGGATCCTCTTGGAACCCTCATGGGGCCATCTTGGGGCCCTCTTGGGCCCCTCTGGGAGCGTTCAGGATCCTCGAAGACAGCGTGGGGGTGTCCTAAGAATTCAGGCCTCCGATGGGGGGGTCCGAGTGGATGGGCTCGGAGGATCGCGCCGAATCACCGATGCATCGGCGATGCGGCTCGATGTGGAGTTCGATTTCCTCCACGCCGACGTCACCGATGCATCGCCGACGTCGCTGGTGCATCGCCGATGCATCGGCGATGCGGCGGGATCCTCCGACCCAGTCTACTCCGACACCATCTAGGAGGCCTCTAAAGAAGGCCCCAGGGGCGTCCAAGAAGGCCCCAAGAGCAGTCAAGCCTCGGTCATGCAAGCGCTCTCTCGCGTGACCGCTCAGGCCGCGTAGATGATGTTTGGAGCCGTCTGTGGCCGTGCGAGGGACCTCCTGAGGCCGCTGTGGGGCCGCCTTGGAGGCCTCTGGGGCCCTCTTGGGGGCCTCCTCAGGTGGGCTCCGCGCAGAGCTCCCACGGTTCATGTCCACGCCGTCTTCTTCTCGAGGGGCGGACGAGGGGAAGAGGCTTGGCGGCGGCGCCGGCCTGCAGCTCCTCGCGCGCCATGGCGCCCAGCTCCCCCACTGCCCTCGCCTGGCCCTCGAGGGCCTCGAGCAAGCCCGCCACCTCGCCAGGGCCACCGGGCGGGCGGCCGAGCGACGGGAGGGGTCCAGTGGGCGCGGCGGCCGTCCCCGCGCTGCCCCGCCCCGCTCTGCCGCCCTTGCCCGTCCTCCGCCTCGCCGCCCCTCCCGTCCCCCATCCGCCCCCCGTGAACCTCCCTGTCCTGCCCCACCCCCCCTTTCCCTGCCCCCTCTCCCGTGTCTCCTGGTCCTCGCCCCCTCGGCCAGACGTGCTTCCTGTCCCCCTTCCAAGTAATCCTTATCCTGGCCGTCACCCTTATCCTTATCCTTATCCTTATCCTCATCCTCATCCTCATCCTCATCGTCATCATCAGCATCAGCATCATCAACAGCAGCATCATCATCAGCATCATCAACATCATCGTCATCATTAGCATCATCATGGTCATCATCATTACCGTCAGCATCATCATCATCACCATCATCATCAGTATCATCATCATCATCATAATTATCATCATCATCATCATCATCATCATCATCATCATCATCATCATCATCATCATCAATATCACCATTATCACGTTCCTCATCCTTCTCGTCACCGTCATCATCATCAGCAACACCATCCTCATCATCATCATCCTGAAATGTTTCTCGTCCTCGTCCTCGTCGTCATCATCACTATCAATTGTATCATCATAATCATCAACGGCATCATCATCATCATCATCATCATCATCATCATCATCATCATCACCACGATCCAACCACCACTATCACAATCATCATCATCAGCATCATCCTCATCATCATCATAATCATCATAAGCATCGTCACCATCATCATCACAATCGTCGACGTCGTCATCATAAACATCGCCATCATCATCGTCATCATCATCACTCATCATCATGGCCACCATGGTCATCATCCTCAACAACAACGGCAACAGGTATCATGTCAAGACTGATGGTTATTGTCTGCTCGCGTGCCACTCAACACGTATATCCCGAACCCTCGCTTCCCGGCCTCTTTGTCTTCGATCGTACCCCCCTTGGGGATATCTTCCATGCCTGCCGCGTGCAGTTGGCGTCGTCCCACGGGCAGATCGGGCGGGCGGGCCCGGCCTGCAAGGTCGAGCGGGCGGGTCGCTTAAGGCAGCACCCCATCATGCAAGAAATTTCGAGCGATGGCGTGATGCCGAAGTGAACCGACAAGAACTTCGATGCGAGAGCGTGATTCGCGAGCCGTGGGAGCACGGCGCCGCAACAAACCGTGCGGTGCATGCGTCGCGGGCGCGGAAAAAAGGGTCCACCTCGAGCCAGACGGCGACCAGGGGATTTTTGTCTCGACGTCCACGTCGGCGCCTCCAAATCCTTGGAAACCGAGGAGTCGAGCCCGCAGCGGAGGGAGATGCGGGATCGACAAGGGAACATATAGGAGGAGAGCCGCACGACCCACGGGCAACCTCCCCCAACAGGGGAGGCTGCCAGTCGACCGAGCGGCACGCCCCACAGCATGAATCCGACGCCGAACTCTCGCCTTCGCGAGGGCTCGGAATGTCGCCCGCAACGGCCTCACCCTCTCGAGGGGCCTGCCGACTCCTCCTCCGGGCCTGAGGAGCGGCCCGAAGACCGGAGCCCTCCTGGAGGAGGAGGAGGAGGAGGAGGAGGAGGAGGAGGAGGAGGAGGAGGAGGAGGATGGAGGAGGGAGGAGGAGGAGGAGGGGAGGAGAGGAGGAGGGAGGAGGAGGGAGGAGGAGGAGGAGGGAGGAGGAGGGAGGAGGAGGAGGGAGGAGGAGGAGGCCTCCGACTCCGCTGCCGAGCCGCCCCTGCGCCCCCCGGAGGCCCGTCGGGGGGGAGCCCGGAGCAGCCCCGGCGGCGGCAACACGGGCGCCCGGGTATCTTCGGAGTTTTTTGTTGGGGCATCTTCGGAGTATTTTTGTTGGGGTATCTTTTATTTCTCGTCCAAACTCCCCCTGCAGGGGGGACAGGCCCGACCTAAAGGTAATGGCCTCTCTGGGCTCGGGCCCTTCCTCCGGCAGGTCCGGGTATCTTCTGAGTATTCGGTATTTATTAGTTTTCGTCCAAACTCCCTTTGTAGGGGGGACAGGCCCGACCTAAAGGTAAGAGCCTGTTTTTTTTTCTTAGACTCTGGCAAGTTTACTTGCGTGGACGGGGGGGGGGCTGAGCCTGAAGCAAGCCGCAAACGACTTGCACGTTCGGGGGGGCGCGGACATCACGCAAGTCGAAAGGCACTTGCACGCTAGTGCTCGCTGGAAGAGGGGCGAGGGGGGGGGGGGGGGCGAACGCCATGCAAGTAAACTTGCCTGAATCCAAACAAAAACAGGCTCTGGCGAGGGCGGCGGCCGGCCTCGAGGGGCCTCTTTTTTTCCCTGGCGGCCCGCACACCGGCGTTGAGTCGGGCGTGTCCCCCTACAGGGCGATGTTCGACGAAAAATAAAAACAAATACTCAAACAATACTCCCACATGGTCCAACAATTACTTAAAAAATGGTCCCTGGACTATGTTTGGGCTATTTTTGAAGATCCCCCCTGTAGAGGGACAGGCCCGACTTAACACTGGCAGTCCCAGGTCGGTGGCAGCCTCCTGCAGGTAGGTGCGCCGTCCGCGAGGAAGCGGGCTGTCGAAGACTGGCTTCGGGCTTGGGGGCGCTGGTCACAGAGACGAAGAGGGAGGAGAAGGATGGACCACAAGGAGGAGGATGGACGAGAGAGAGAGAGAGGAGGGGGAGGAACGCGGAGGATGGGGAGTGAAGGAGGGGAGGGAGGAGGACGAGGAAGGCGTGAGGAGAGGAAGAGACGAGGGCGAAAAAACAGCAGGCAGGAGAGAGAAAAGGGCGCAAGGAGCTGTTGCGGAGGAAGTCCGCGACGGCGACGGCGATGACGGCGACGACAACGTTGAAGACGACAGTTCGACGCGTTCGAATGCGCTGCCCCTGACGCCTCAGCCAGGTGGGCGATGAGCGCCACGCCCCAACAGGCACGACTGCCGAAAACGACGTCGCGACGACGAAGATGACGACGGCGACGGCGACGACGACGACGACGGCGATGGCCACGGCGACGGCGACGACGGCGAGGACGGCGACGATAGCGACGGCGACGGCGACGATGGCGACGACGACAACGACGACGACGACGGCGGCGACGACGACGACGACGGCGACGTCACCGTCGCCGTCGCCGCCGTCGTCGTCTGCGCTGTCGCCGCCGCGACGTCGTCTTGTTTCGGCAGTCGTGCCTGTTGGGGCGTGGCGCTCGTCGTCGTCGTCGTCGTCGTCGCCTGTTGCGGCGGCGGGGGCGCGACGACGGCGACGCCTCGCTGGGCGACCGCGCGCCCTGCGGGGCGGACTCCGGCGCCGCCGCGGGGGGGGCGCACCGCCCGCCAGGGCCGCCCTGCGGGAGGGGGGGGGGGGTGAGAGGTCCCTCCCTCCTTTCCTCCTCCTCTCTTCCTCCCCTGTCCTCCCCTTCTCCTGGCTTCCCCCCCCCTCTTCCCTCTCGTCCCTCCCTCCTACTTCCTTCCGTTCCCCTTGCCTCCCTCCCTCGTCCCTTCCTCCTCTTTCCCGCTCCTCCTTCCCCCTCCTCTCTTCCCCTCCCAAACTGGAGTATCCTTCCCCTCGTTCCTCTCCCTTCCCCTTCCTCCTTCTCCCTCCTCCTCTCTTCCCCTACCCCCTCCTTTCCTCATCCCTCCCCCTCCTCTTTTCCGCATCCTCATCCTTCCCATTCTCCTCTCCTGCTCCCACTCCCTCCTCCCTCTTCATCCAGTTCCTCCTGTCTGATCGAATGCGAGCTGGGGTACAACATCGAAGCGGTACCTGCATCGCACGAGTTCTTTTCTGAAGCCGATGCCAACTCGAACAGAACACGTTCGAGTCGGGCCTCCTGGTGCGGCCCGACCCTCTGAAGCTGCCGCGAGAAGGCATGAGGTGGCTGCAAATTCTTGCGCGCACAGTAAACAGAAGGCTGCGTGATGGCTAAACTGCTGCAGTAATATGAGGCACGCTCTCATCGAGGTTGCGTATCGAGGAAGTCTCGTTGCTGATCAAATTTGCGATCAAATTGAACACACACACACGCTCAAAGCGTATCTAGATTCATCCATCGCCCAGATGGTCCTGACCTTCAAGAACTCCTTCAATCGTAAGAGCGGCATTGCCGCATGCTGGCCCATGCCGGATTCGCAACTACCCTGGCAGGAAATGGACGCCCGAGCCTGTCATACGCCGGCCGGATCCCGAGAACGCAAATCGCGCCAGTCGCGCCTGCCATCGCAGGCGGTGTGGAAACTTGTCACTGTCAAACGCTTAGGCCTGCATCCGATCGCGTTATACGGCGTCCGACCGAACAGGTCGGCCCTACGAAGAACTCGGGTGAAAAAATGAACGGCGCCGTCAGAACTGCACGTCGTCAAACCAACGAGGCCATGGCTGGCCTCTGGCACGATGCGGCCGGCTACTAATCCAGCGCCGCACGCGCAGCCGGGCACCAGTCGTGCGCTAAGTTGAGCCCTGTAGGCAACGACGGAGCGCAGGGAATGCAATCCGTACGTGTGTAGTCCATACGTGTAACGGTGCTGGCAGTGCCAAGATAGCGGTTGGCTTTGAGATGCTGGTTTAGGCCTGCGTAATGCTGGCTGCCACTCTTCAGCAGCCTTGAAAAATTGTGTGATGCCATGCTGCTGCAGCCTCGCAGAATCCTGCAACGCCAGAGCATCGCAAATGCAGTGGTCGCCGTCCAATTTATCCGAGGTGCCGGGCATGTGGAACACGGACCTGCTCCAAAACACTTTTTTGAATATCTGGCTTTAGCCAAACACTTGCTGCAACAAATAATTAAACGGCAGGCGATCACCGTACGAGCTAGACATGCTGTCTCGAGGCCGCGTGGCTGCCGCAAGAGATTTCGAGATCCAGGAGGAGTATACTACGCAGCCTCCGAGTGACCGCGCCTGCAATGGGCGATGAACTCTAAGCGCTACTCGCGACGGGACGCGACCGAGTCACTCGACAATGGAGGAGTAGGGCGGGAGCAGAAGCAGCTCCCTGTGCTTCTCGATGGCAATCCCCCGCCCCAATTCCATGGACAAATGTAAGTTCACCGATTCAGTAATCAAAGTCCCGCGCGGGATGGCGTCAACAGGGCGTTCCCTCGGCAACTTCCTCCGCGCCACATGTAAAAGCTAGAGAAAATCATAACAATGTAAGCCAAGATTATCAAGCAACTGCCAGGATCAAAAGAGGAAGCCGCGAGGGAAGGATAAAGCCGAGCGCACTTGCTCTCTCCGCACCCTCCCTGTGGCTGCTCACTTCCGCCACGCCCCATGGGCGCCCTTCGCATTGGCATCCTGTTCTGCCTGTCTCCTTCCCTGCTTCAATATGTTGCCGTACGCAGAGATCCGATGTCGTGTTTTTTTCCATACGGGGTCTCCAGAAGTCTCGACCCATTCCCCAGGACCGGTTATTCATCCTGAGTCGGTTTTTGACGGTCCCGGGGCCCGACGAGGGCCGACAGAGGCCGAACATCGAGAAAAACCTCCTTCTTGAATTTTTCAATACGTTGGAGGTCTGGGTACCGAACACGCTGAAATTTGACATCGCACTTTCACCCTGCTGATGAGCCCTTACCGTTCTCACTATGAGCTCCGGCCCTGGCCCCGGGCGCCCCAGGGGTCCTGGGGCCCCGATGCCCCTCCGCCCCGTCGCCTCCCAGACGCCCGCCCACGAGGAGACACACGGCTCTCCTCCTCCTCCTCCCCTTCCTCTCCTCCTCCTCCTCCTCCTCCTCCTCTCCTCCTCCTCCTCCTCCTCCTCCTCCTCCACTCCCCCTCCTCCTCCTCCTCCTCTTCCTCTCCTCCTCCTCCTCTCTCCTCCTACCCCTCCTCCTCCTCCTCCTCCTCCTCGTCCTCGTCCTCCTCTCTCTCCTCCCCCTCCTCCTCCTCCTCCTCGTCCTCCTCTATCCCCCCCCGCTCCTCCTCCTCTCCCTCCCTCCTCCTCCTCCTCTCCTCCTCCTCCTCCTCCTCTCCTCCTCCTCCTACTCCTACTCCTCCTCCTCCTATCCTTATTCCTTATTAGAATATACTCCTACTCCCCCCTCAGGCCGGCAGATAGCGGGCGCATCCGGGTGGTCCCATCCTAACCTGTAAAAAACAATACAAAATCAACATTTTTCTTATTTTTTCCTCTCGACATGGACGTCCTGTCGTCCACGGCGATAATCCATTGCAAAAAATACCACAAAGAGCACACGCGCGCGTTCATGTCAGAATCCTACCGAACACCGTGTGTTTGCAAGCATTTCAACATAAAAACATCAAAAACCCAATGCTTTTTCACAAAAATTGTACAAATTTCCCGCCCGGGCTCTCTTGCTGAAATCATAGGAAAACCATAGGAATCTTAAGAATTCGGTCAAATCCAGCGATTTCACGTCATCGCGCGGTGCACTCGCGATGCTCTGTCATGCACCCAGGCCGCGAATCCTGTGCAAAAAATACTACAAAGAGCACACTCGCGCGTTCATGTCAGAATCCTACCGAATACCGTGTTTTTGCAAGCGTTTCATCATAAAAACATCAAAAACCCAATGCTTTTTCACAAAAATGCTTTGGGGTGTCCTGTCAGACCGTCGGACTCGTCTGGCAATGCGTGCGCGGCATTCAACACGCGCTCGCCAATTCCCGTCGGCAACCGCCATCGCGGCCGCATCAGCTGTACCAAACCGGCTGGCCGGTGTGACTTCGGCCCCCAGTTGTGCCAGCTTTGCTTCTTATGTTGTGGGAGGGCGGGTGGGACTGGGCATGCCATGCTTGACTCGCTCGAGCTGGCTAGCTTGACTCCTACTCCTACTCCTACTCCTCCTCCCTTCCTCCTGACCCTCCTTCTCCTCCTCCTCCTCCTCCCCTCCTCCTCAAACTCCTCCTCCTCCTCCTCCTCCTCCTCGCTCCTCCTCCTCCTCATCCTCCTCCTCCCCCTCTCCTCCACCTCCCCCTCCCCCTCCCCCTCACCCCTCCTCCTCTTCCTCCTCTCCTCCTCCTACCCTCCCCTCCTCCTCCATCCTCCTCTCCTCATCCTCCTCCTCCTCCTCTCCTCCTCCTCCTCGTCCTCTTCCTCCTCCTCCTTTCTCATCTCTCCTCCTCCTCCTCCTCCTCCTCCTCCTCCTCCTCCTCCGTCTCTTCCCTCAACCGCCCGCCCCATGCCCCGAGCTTGTGGCAGGGTCATCAGCTCGTTGTCATCGTTGTCGTCGTGATTGTCGTCGTGGTTGTCGTGGTCATCCTTCTGGGTCGGCGGCAGCGGCCGCAAGGCCTTCACAATAAGATCAGAAGATCACCCTGCTGCTGTGACCTTACCTTTCTCCCCCGTGATGGCCAGTGTCGCCGGTGAGGGTGAGAGCGGGCGGATCCGCGCCTGGAACGTCTCGAGACCCACCGCGATGGACCGCTGCACGGCGTCTAGATCGTCCATCCGCAGGTGCAGCCTTTGCACCGCCGCATGCTCACACACACACACACATACACGCACCACCAGACCACCCACCACACACTTCTTTGGTTCGCGCGGCATCTGGTCAGCTGGCAGATCGGGAGGCATCGGGCTTTGACACTCGAACATGAAATTCAGGCAGCACTCACGCTCGGCGAGCGCCCAGGGCAGGCAGAGGCCTGCGAGGGCAGGAAAAGGCAGGCCCGCGTCTTGACTGCAGGGCACGCCTGGCAACACACCCAACAAGACGCGCCTGCTGTTGCCGCCTGGCGCGACATCCCGGGGGCGTACGACGCCCCGTCCGCGTCACGGGGCACGCAACGGTGACCGTGCAGCCCCCCGAGTGCTGAACCGGAGCAACAGCTGCTGCAACTGCGCGGTGCGAGAGGCAACGAGGGAAGCCGAGTGCCCAAGGCCAACACGACTACAGTCGGGCTCGATTGGGCAGGACACGCGAGAGGACGTAAGACCCTTCCTAGGACCACATTGCCACAGGAATATAGGAGGCGTGGGTCGCGAGACACAGGACGCGAAGGCACCCTTGATTTGGCAGGGTCGACCTACTTCTCCGGGCCGACTGTACGATGGGTCATTGTCCCGAGGTCGGCGCTCTGTGTGTAAGAGTCTCGGAACCTGGGCGCAAGCAATGTGAGAAGAGGCACTTTATCAGCCCAGAACGGCGACCGCTGTATGGGACATGCGAGGGAAGTGCAGGGGAGCTGACACGCACTGACTCTAGGCTAACAAAACAAGAAGCAAGAAGGAGCGCGGGGCACGAGGAAAACACCTGCCCAGACAAGAAAGGGAAGCGCCACTTTTGTATACAGGGCTCGTGGTACGAACAAGAACAGAAAGAAGAGGACGACAACAAATGCGGATGACAAGGACGGCGTGGACGACGAGGACGGCAAAGCAGACCAGCAGGACCACCAGAAGGAAGACAGGCGCATGGACGAAGAAAGAGAGGGCAAGCAGGAAGCGCACGAGGATGAGGACGACAAGCACGACGAGGGGTAGGACAACTGCAGCGTCAAGAAGAGAAGGACAACGCGGACGAGGAGGGAGAGAGCGGCAAGAACGAGGAGGACGAGGTTCTGGACCAGGACAAGAAAAACGAGGAGGGCATGTACGACATGAAAAAAGAGGACAAGGACGACGGGGAAAAAGACCACGAGAAAGACAACGTGGAGGACAACAAGGGTTAAAAGAGTGGTACGATAAAGGGGACAAGACGGAAGATGACAAGGAAGAAAAATGACGAGGAGCACTAGGAGAAGGACTTGTAAGGCCTTTCGGGCTACCCTGGGGGCTGCGAGGACTGCCTGGGGCTGTCTTGGAGACTCTTGGGGTCCTCTTGGGGTCCTCTTGGAGGCTTCTGCGGCCGTCTTGGGCTGTATGGGCGCGCTTTGGGGACACTTGTGTCTCTGTTGCGCCGACTTGGGTGCTCCCGTCGGCCATCTTGCGGCTCTATGAGGCAGTCTGAGGGGTCTCTCGAGGCGATCTTGGGAGCCTCTTCAGGCACGGGTCATCTGAGGGGGTGGGCCGCTTGGACCTCCCTCGGGCCGTCTAAGAGGTCCTCTGAGGCTGGGTCCAGGACGACATCGACGCAAAGTCCCCTCGAAATCCAGGTGTTGAACAAAAAGCATAGCCCGCGGAGAGAAGCCTTCCTGGACATGAACAGGGAAGCGCGTGCGATTGAAGAGCTGCGCAAGAAAATGTAACACCATCAGAGTCAAATAACGTCTAAGTCAGCTGCTCGAAAGCCCAGAGGGGGGGTGGGGACAATGATAGACACACGCTGTCGAACAACCACAGTGGAACAATTATGGGCACCCGGATCGCACCTCAAATGGACTGCCAAGCCGCCTCTTGCACCCTCTGCTGGCACCCTAAAAGGGTATAAGAGGGAACACCTTTCGTTGCCCAACCAGACCGGCGTTGCAAACCAGCCCTTATCGGAGCTCCGACCGAATACACAAGTGTCGAAACACAAGTGGTGTTTTAGTGAATGGAAGCGTTCCGCAGACAGCATGTGAAACCACAGAACATGAAAACTATGCGATGATATTTGAACAATATACAACATTTCAAAATAATTCTGGAATCGGTGTTGGAGGATGTCTCGAGCGAAACGTGTTGAACAACCATTAGTTCTATGTCATTGCATGTTGGGTCATCGCAGGGTCCTCCTAGGCAGCCTAAAGAAAACATCGGGAACATACATCTTTCGACACCTGCATTGTTTGAGGATGCATGCAGCGAAAGCCTCATGCTTCTACTGGCTATGAATGCGCGAACGATTTGAACATCTCCATGTGCTGAGGATGCCTGCAGAGAGACCCTCAAGCTTTATCAACGACGCCCGATAACAGCTCCATCGACATCTCATGCGTTGGAGGATATCTCAAGCGAAACGCCTAGTGTTCAAACCATTCCTTGACATGAACGGGAAGCATATGAAATCGATAAGCTGCGGGAGAACGTTCAACAGCATCATCATCATCATCACATGTAATATAGGAGCTCTCCCCGAACTTCACCAGGGGACAAACTGTGGGTACGCGCTGCCCGAACGCCCACAGGTGACAACTATTGACACACGGATTCTACCCCAAAGGGACACGCGAGGCACTTCTTGGACTCTCTCCTGTGATGGAGCCCCCAGATCGGCCCCTACGCACCTGGCTTCCAAAAAGGCACCCACGCACATGCTTGCGTGAACACAGATGACATAGAACCATCGCGCGCTTCGGGTGCGCCCAATTTGTAGCTAGCTTGGGCGTCATGTGTCGAGGTGTCTTACAATTTCTAGTCTAGCTAGCGCGGGCATAGCGGGAAGAGGAACCGCGTCATGTCAATCGACCCCCCTGGTCTTAATGGCGTCGTACAGACATCCTGAGGCCTTTCGTAAATCCACCATGGCCTCTCCCAGGGATACCGTGGAGCTGTTTCAGCCGACATCTTTGAGGTCACAAGGGATGTACAAAACAAATGAAATTCTCAGGGTGTAGACCATTGTTAGCGATCTGGGAGTCTTCTTGGTGCTCTCTCGTGGCATCTTGGAGCCGTCTTGGGGGCATTTCGGCTAGCCTGTGGGGGTCCCTTGGGGCCACCATGATCCGTCGTGGGGCCTTCCTGAGGGCTATTTGGGGGCCACGTGGGGGTGTCGTGGGGCTCTGGAGCCCCATGGACCCGTTTCGGGACGTGCTTGGGCCATTTGGGAGACATTCTTGGGCTGTCTTGGCGCGCTGTCTTGGGCCGTCTTCAGGCTCTCTACAACCGCCTGGGGCTCCACCGGAAGCCTTCTTGACCGGTCCCCCATGAAGAGCCACAGGACGCTCTCTTGAAGTCACTTGTGAGCCGAGGAGACTAGTTGACCAAAGATATTGAAAACATTCCTTTCAGCCCGGTTTGGCTGACTGGGGCACCGCTTGAAACTTCAGGGAACCTCTCTTAGAGCCTCTGGGAAGCCTCCTGGGGCCTCTCGAAGCCCTCATGCGCGCCTCATGGCTGGTCGTGGGCCCGTCGAGGGCCCGGCTGGAGCGGCTCCTTGTCGCCTCGGTCGCCAGTCAAGAGGCCTCTGCCACCCAGGTCGCCAGTCGAGAGGCCGGCCCAAGGGTCCCTGGCCCAGGTCCCCCAACACACATGTGAACAATTCTTGCAAGGCGTGCGTCTGCGCGCATGTCATGTGCTTGCCCGCGGCGGTGCGTCTGCGCGCATGACTGACGCTGGCGGCTAGAGGATGCGTTCTCTCCTCGTCCTCGACCCATGGCGAGAGAAGGAAACGGAAGCTTCCGACGAGGCGATGCTTGCAAGTCGCTCGCCCCTGGACCGCCCCTGGACCTCGCGACCACTGAGCCGGTGTTCCTCCCGAATCGTCATCTTCGCCGGCCCAGGAGCCCAGAAGCCGGCCCATGGAGTCTGAATGTTGTGCAGGACGCCTCCGCCGCTAGCTTCGAGGTCGCCAGAAGTCTGGGGAGAGGGCAGCGGCGGGAGGGGACGAGGGTGCATCCTTGCCGTCTCTTGGCCACGGCTCGAAGGTCCGCCCGCCCGAGGCGAGCTAAACGAGGATCCCACCGACGCACGCTTATGGCTCGAGCAGGAGGTCGCCTGCAGAATCAAGTTACTCCAGAATTGACATGTCAGTCGAATCTACGAAAAGCACTTACACCGGACTCACTTCTATAGCGCTCACTTCTATAGTGCTCACTTTGAAATTGTGGTCCGGAAGGGGCCGCACATGCAGGCACATGCCGCACAGTCGCATGCACATGCCCATGCAAATATACAAAAGCCTCAACACCATTGCCGCACATGCGCGCACATGCCACACCGTCCGACGCACAGTCGAATGCACGGTCAAGCAAAACTCTGAAAGCATAGACGCACTTGCCCGCACATGCCGCAGAAATGTCGCAGGCGATAGTGGCCTGACCACCTGAGCTCGGGCATTTCGCAACCCAGAGTTGCGAGGATGTCTCAGGCAAGCGTGGCCGGACCACCATGGGGCAGGGCATCTTGGAAACCAGAGTGGCGAGGATGTATGTCGCTGGTCAAGGTGACCAGACGACCATGGGGCAGGACACCTCCGAGGTCTGAGTTGTGAGGATGTCTCAGGCGAAAGTGGCCTGACCACCATGGGGCAAGAGATCTCTGAGGTCAGAGTTGCGAGGATGTTTCTGGCGAGAGTGGTCTGACCACCTCAGCCCAGGGCGTCTCGGAACCCAGAGTTGCGAGGATGTCTCAGGCAGGAGTGGCCTGACCACCTGCTCAGGGCATCTCGGAACCCAGAGTTGCGAGGGTCTCAGGCGAAAAAGGCCGAGACACTATGGAGCAGGGCATCATTGAGGTCAGAGTTGCGAGGATGTCTCAGGCGAAAGTGGCCTGAACACCTCAACTCAGGGCATCTCGGGCGAGGATGTCTAAAGCGAAAGTGGTCTAACCACTTCAGCTCAGGGCGTCTCGGAACCCAGAGTTCCGAGGATGTCTCAGGCGAAAGGGGCCGAGACACTATCGAGCAGGGCATCATTGAGATCAGGGTTGCGAGGATGTCTCAGGCGACAGTGGCTGACCACCTCAGCTCGGAGCATATCGGAATCGAGACTTGCGAGGATGTCTCAGGCGACAGTGGCCTGACCAGCATGGGGCAGGAGATCTCTGAGGTCAGAGTTGCGAGGATGTCTCAGGCAAAAGTGGTCTAACCACCTCAGCTCAGGGCGTCTCGAAACCCAGAGTTCCGAGGATGTCTCAAGCGAAAGTGGCCGGGCCACCATGGGGCAGGGCATCTCCGAGACCAGAGTTGCGAGGAGGTCTCAGGCGAAGGTGGCCAAATCACCTCATGTCGAAGCATGTCGGCCTCCAGATTGCCGACGACGTCTCACGCGGAACCGGCCGGACGCGAACGCGCCGGCGCCCGGAGACGAACGCCGGCCCCGGCATTCTTGCACGTCCCGCACATGCCCCGCACAGGTACGCACAGTATTCGCACAGGCCGAGCTCGCCAGTGGCCGAGCCAGGCTAGCGATTCCGAGATTCCCTGAGCTCGGGCCGTCAAGCCACTTTCGCCTGAGACATCCTCGCAACTCTCACCTCCTCCTCCTCCTCCTCCTCCTCCTCCTCCTCCTCCTCTTCCTCCTCCTCCTCTCTTCTGGCCGAGCCGAACAGGCGGGCGGGCCGGCCGAGCCGGGGGCGTCCGCCTCCTCGGCCCCCCCTCCTTCCCCCCCCCTCCACCTCCCCCCCCACCCCTGCTTCTCCGGCCGAGCTGAGAAGGCGCGCGGGAGAGTGTTTTACTAGGAGGGCACGCCACCGCCAGCTCACGAACCGGGCGAAGAACCGCCCCCGCCAGCAGCGGGCGAGTCTAAACGCACAACAAACTCTTTCAGGAAGCCCTGGCACGCCCCAGGTTAGCTCTGCGAAGGCCAGGAGGCATTGGAGGCACAGGGGTCCCAGACAGCTCCTAGGGCATGAGCGTGCATGTGCATTGGGATGTGCACGCATGTGCGCCCGCGCGCTTCACCGCATGTGCGTGCATGTGCGGGCCCGCGCGGCCTCCCGAAGAGAGGTTGCACAGGCATGTGCGTGCATGTGCCGATGACAGATCTGCGATTCTCGAACACCTCCCGCATGTGCAGGCATGTGCGCGCATGTGCGTCGGACTGTGCGTGCATGTGCGTATGATGGATACATCAAAACACAGCGCACATGCCCCCGCACATGCCCGGGCACGACGTGCACAGTAGGAAGTCCATCCAAGAAGGGCCGCACAGGCCTGGCACATGACTGGCACATGCCGCGCACATGCGCGCACATGACAGCGCAAAAACGGCCGCACATACACCCACCCAGGGGTATAGATGTGAGTGCGGTTTAATTTGCGCGAACCCTCAAACAGGATACGTATTTGCTTGTAGATTATACCAGACAGAATTTTCGGGGCAACTCAATTCTATTTTCGATCTCTTGCTCGAATGGCAGCCGCTGCCTCAGCAGCGTGCGCTCTTGCAGTGCGAGGAGCTCTGAGCAGAAGGGTCCGATCCCTGTCGATCCCTTTCTCCACCTCCCCACTCTACAGCGCAGTCGCGTCGCCGTGACGTCGGCGTTGAGTTCTGAGACCGCGTGGACCGTGCAGCCTCGAGCGATCGCGGCTGTCCGATGGCGCAGCTCGGTCGAGAACGTCCGATTCAATGCCGCTGGCGGCAATCGATCAGCCTTCGACGCCCGCGCCGGCGTCGCCGCCGAGCCGACGCGGCGCAAACCTGCCGTGCGGCAGGCTGCTGCCTTGACGACGTGGGCCCTGGCCTCTCTCGACACCGCGCCGGCCACTCCGCTGCTGGGGCCCTGGACGACCTCCGCTCCACCTACAGGGCCCCCACAGGCCCTCGACTGGAGGTCTGCCAAGCGGGGTCGGAGGATCGGAGGATCGCGGAGGGAGCGGAGGATCGCGCCGCATCGCAGATGCATCGGCGATGCGTCGGCCGCGTCGCCGATGCATCGGCGACGCCGGCGTGGAGAACATCGGGCCTCACATCGAGCCGCATCGCCGATACACCCGCGATGCGGCGCGGCTCCCCGGCCCTCGCCGCGGGCGTCCAGGCGGCGCCAGCCTGCCGCCTCCCTCCTCCTGCCCCCTCGCCCGCTCGCACAAGCCTCGAGCTTACACGCCGGTCGGAAGGAGTGGATGGAGACATGAGGTAGGAAGGCGGCTGAGGTAGAGTGGGTCTGGGCCCGCCCAGAAAGAAACAACAGCAAAACACATGCTGATTCTTGCACGTAGGGAGGCGCTGGAGATAGACTGGGCTCTGGGAATCCCCGGATGCCTACTTTCAACGACTGGCGCGTCCCTGTCCCTAGGATTGACAAGCCAAGAAGAAATGGCAATCTCAGAGATGCGCCCGCGGAATCTGAGGGCATCCTCAAGGTCAGCACCGGGATGAGGTGATGCCACTCACCGGGCCAAGCGTAGGTTTCAGGCCGGTGACGCTCGTCCTCCAAGCCACACCTTCACCAGCCCGTGATTCTATCGGCCGAGAAGCTGGCGTACAGGCACGCGCAAGCCGTGCAGGAGGGGACGCCGGTGACGACGGGAGGAGGGGAAGCAGCCGCGGCGGCGCTCGTCGTCCCGTCCCGCGCTCGCTGGGGCCCCGGCGAGCGGCAGGAGCGGGCCAGGACCTCCAGGTGCTGGGCGTGGCTCCCAGACTCGCGGGGACGGGCGAGGAACCCTGAGATCCCGGCGTCGCATGCTTCCGCAGTGGGCGATTTTTCTGCCTTCCTTTGGGGCCCCGGAGTCGTCACAGATCGGTCTGGCTCGAGGAGTGCCGCAGGAAGCTGGGGCCTACAGGGCTCCGATCGAGACGTTTCTGGCCTCGTCACTGCTTCGCAACGTCGGAGCTCAGAGAGAGAGAGCGGGGCACGGCAAGCAGGCGCCAGCGAGCGGGGGCCGGCGATTCACCGACGCGCGATCGAGGACCGGGCGCCAGAAGTCGAGGAACGGGTTGCCATCCCAAATCCCAGCCTCTCAACGGCTGGCAAACCTCATTCCATCCGTGTGCATTCGCTCGCACGCCGTCAAAAAAATACAGCCTCGGGTATTGGTAGACTCGCCCGCACTACAGTTGGGCCGTGTCATAAGGATACGCCGATTTCAAAGCCTCTCGAGCGGGGCGCGGCCAACGAAAGTGGCCAAGGATGGGCCGAGGAGGCCAGGATGCAAGGGTACCCTTGGGAAGGATGCCCATCCTGATTCTGCGGGATGACTGTATACTCGCGCATGATAATATTTGAAAATGAACGGAGCACAGGGGCCAGAAATGACCCGAGACGTGCCCGACCCCTTATCCTCACGGTGGCTTACGCGGGCCGTCGGCGCGGCACGCTACGCTGAAGACGAGGGCGCTTACGCGCGAGCTTACGCGGGCAGCTTACGCGCGAATGTCGGCGCCGACGACCCCGTTTTGTGGCGTCGCTCAGGTGTAAACAGACAGTATTACAACACATCTGCTGGACCCTGCACACATGTACAGATGCTGACGCCGGACTGCTACAACTGCGGCGCAAGCAAAACGACAATCGACAAACCAAGCACAGATGAAACATTAAAAAACGGAATAGCAAACAACAATCACCCACACACACATCACCAAATAACCAAAAAGAGGGTTGTCATGAACAAGAGAGGGCTGTTATGGGAGAGGGCTGGTGTGAACCCCGGCGCCAGCTGCAATCGCAGAGGACTGCATCGCTTGAGCATCTGGGGAAGAAGCGCAACCACCAGATGTGGCCAGGGCTGGGCCTAACTTTGTTGTTCGCTTTGTTTTCGTTTGCCTTTCGTTTTGCTCTACATGCTTTCCTGTACCTTCCTCCCAAAACGAACAAACACACATCACCAAATATAAGAGAGAGCGCGCCCACAGGGCCCGAGCAAAGGGAAGGGGGGGCTAGGCTTAAGCTCCCCCCCCCCCTCCCTTGAGCCGCCCTTGTTGGAAGCACCCCCCCCCCCCCCCCTCCCCCTTTTTTTTTGCAAGGGGGGGGGGCTTACAGCTACCCCCCTCCCCCCTTGGGCCCTCCCCGGAAGCTACCCCCCCCCCCTTTCCAAAGGGGGGGGGGGTGCTTAAGCTACCCCCCCCCTCCCTTGGCGCCGCCCTGCTGGAAGCTACCCCCCCCTCCCCCCCTTTCGTGCAAAGGGGGAGGGGGGTGCTTGGAAGCTACCCACCCACCCCCCCTTGGCCGCCCCGGAAGCTACCCCCCCCCCTACCCCCCTTTCCAAAGGGAGGGGTGCTTAAGCTACCACCCCCCTCCCTTGGAGCCGCCCTGCTGGAAGCTCCCCCCCCCTCCCCCCCTTTGTGCCAAAGGGGGGGGGGGCTTGGAAGCCCCCCCCCCTTCCCCCCTTTGGCCGCCCAGCCCCCGGAGCCTCCGCCCTCCCTTTCGCCGACGATCCAAAATGAACAATCCACGATCGAGGATGGACGATCGACGATCAACGATCGACGATCGAAAATCCCAATCGAATCGCTTGCAATCGATTGCACTCCATTCCACTGCAATCCCCCTCCCCACCTCCCTCCGCTCCCTCCCCTCCCTCCCCACCCTTCGTTCCATCTCCTCCCTCCCCTCCCTCTCCTCCCCTCCCTCCCTTCCGTCCTGTCCCTCCCCTGCAATCCAATCGATTGAATCGATTGCAATTCACCCGATTGCAATCCAATCGATTGCAATCCAATGGATTGCAATCGAATCGTTTGCAATCCAATGGATTGCAATCGATTGCAACGCAAGTGTATCATTCAACTCGTCCCGTGCCAACGCCCGGGAACGAAAAATTACCCTGGCGACGTACCCAACCCCTGCGCAAACGCGGGGCGCAAATAGTTTAGGACACTTTATAAGGGGGGCGATGACGGAGCGAGGGTTACATATGTCTGCAGACGGAATTCGGGAGACTCGCAGGACACTGGCTTCAGGACAAGGACTAGATAATGGTGATTAGTTGCAATCCCTGAGCAACCCTAGCCACTTCGAAAGCGGGGATCTCAGATCGCAGCCCCCCAGGGATGGCGAGGTCTAATTTGGGTCCGCCCGTGGCGTCACTGTGCTGGGCCCCCCAGCAAGGGATGGCGAGGTCTAATTTGGGTCCGCCCGTGGGTCACTGTGCTGGGCCCCCCAGCAGGCCTCGAAAGTGGCGACAGTTTCACAGATCGCAGCCCCCCAGGGATGGCGAGGTCTAATTTGGGTCCGCCCGTGGCGTCACTGTGCTGGGCCCCCCAGCAGGCCTCGAAAGTGGCGACAGTTTCACAGATCGCAGCCCCCAGGGATGGCGAGGTCTAATTTGGGTCCGCCCGTGGCGTCACTGCGCTGGGCCCCCCAGCAGGCCTCGAAAGTGGCGACAGTTTCACAGATCGCAGCCCCCCAGGGATGGCGAGGTCTAATTTGGGTCCGCCCGTGGCGTCACTGTGCTGGGCCCCCCAGCAGGCCTCGAAAGTGGCGACAGTTTCACAGATGCGAGGTCTAATTTGGGTCCGCCCGTGGCGTCACTGTGCTGGGCCCCCCAGCAGGCCTCGAAAGTGGCGACAGTTTCACAGATCGCAGCCCCCCAGGGATGGCGAGGTCTAATTTGGGTCCGCCCGTGGCGTCACTGTGCTGGGCCCCCCAGCAAGCCTCGAAAGTGGCGACAGTTTCACAGATCGCAGCCCCCCGCAAGCAAGACAGGAGGAGGCAAGAGGGAGACGGGACGGGAAGGAGGAAGTGGAGACCACACTCCTCTATTCAAAACGAATACCCAACCAAGGAGGGTTGGGAAAAATACTATTCCCCCCCGAAATTTGCACGAAGTGTAATTCGGAGAACGCCAGCCCGTCGGGTTTGGCAGTGTTCGTGTAAGACGGCGGCCAGCTGGGGGAGGAGGAGGCGGAGGATGGGGGAGGCGGAGGGGGAGGAGGAGGAGGAGGAGAAGGAGGAGGAGGAGCAGGAGGAGGAGGAGGAGGAGGAGGAGGAGAAGGAAGAGGAGGATGATTTGTTCACTGTATGCTGCTACAGACGGCACTGCAGGTGAATGCGTGGACGGCTGCAGGATGAAGGGTGCCCAGCACCGAAGTTAAAAAGTGCACTGAAGCAACGACACCAGCACAGAAAAGTAAAGGCCAGAGGAGGTTGGAGCACCCTGGGGGTGGGAACCAACCCAGAGTCCTCTGGGCAGGTGGCCCCGCCAGCTCCCAGAGACCCCGAGGGGGTGGAAGCAAGTGGTGCGGCCGTCAGCGCGCTAAAGCTGAACGACGGGCTCCTGCCTGGAATCCCACACGCGAGAGCTCTGCTGCGGAGGCAATCCTTTGCGAACTCGCTGCAAAGCCTGCAGCTGCTTAGGGGAAATACGGTGCGGCCCATCCAGGGCCACAACGCAACCAGCTAACAGGTTGACCGGTCGCTGCGTGGCCCACGCACCACGCAAACCACAAAATGTATATTTGCCTTTATGCCACAGCTCATGTGAAGAAGATAGTTGCTGCCCTGCAATGAAAGCAGGGTGGGATACGAGCACAGGCGGATCTTCCATGCCAAGCCTGATCCAAAGGGCACCATCGATAGGGGCCAGGGGACCAGGCGCAGACCACAGGCGGGGGGGCGGGACAGGGGCCCTCGGAGCCAGGGCCGCGCAGGCAGAAAGGACACGGCCCCGAAACCCCCGAGTCTTTTCTTCGGCATGGAGTCCGCATTCAGAACAGCGCCAGAGACCAGGCGCGTGCAATTCAAAATGGTGCTGCGATCGGCTCACAAAATCTACTCGCTTCTGGCGGAGGGCGAGCAGCCTCGGAACCTTTGCTTTCACGACCACGCGCTCCTTGTTCTTCGGCTTACTCGCGGCCTCCAAAGTGAGAGTGGCAATCCGGAGCAAAACCTGTTTGGGCTTCAGCTCAAGCGCCAGCAAGGCCTGGCCCTGGTGCGCGGGTACCTGATGCGCATCTGCTTTACTGGCGGCGAGCTCGTCCGCTACGCGATTGATATAGACATGATACGGGTCTGTGCTTCTCCAAAACCGTTCAAGCTTGTCCGAATTCTCTGCTAAATGTGACGGCACATGCACTAGCTCAAGGGGAACATACCTTTTACTAGCCAACACCCAGAACTCCCACCGCAGGCCAGCATTGGCAAGGTGAAGGCAGTGGTTCCTGTCCTTATCATAGGCCTTGACATGATTTATATGGTCACATACAATCACGAGCGAATCAGACCACCTGACATGGCGTACAATCTCCACGAGAGCAGTGAGCTCTGCTCTGGGAACACTCTGGCGGGAGCTGTCACAGACACCTGTAACTCCATGGCTCCAGGAAGGCACTCCGTCCTCATCAACATCCAGGCGAGCAAAACTAAAGGAGACTCTGCGGAGAAGCGGGCGCTGCGACCACTGTCCGCCTGCACCATCAGAGCCATAGGTTCCGCCAGGGAATGGGGTCGAGGGCTCGCGCCCGAGGTGCTCCAGAAGGCGAGAGGAAGGAGGAGAGGGAGGAAGATCCAACCAATCACTGGGAATGAGCCCTCTCCCCCAGAAAATTTGGGCAACCTCGAAATCTGGACGGGCCTCATGCCGCAGATGCTCAGTATCAGTCACCCGGGCGCTGTCATGACTGGCATTACACATGCATTCCCAAGCCCTGTGCTGAGGGCTCTCGTCGGATCGAAAACATCGCTGGCAAACGCTATCGGGAACA